TAGACAGACTTTTTTCCTTCTAAAATACGATCAAACTGGCTTAGTAGGGGAGAAATTGCGTTACAAAAGCCAAGGGACAGCACTCCGAGGGAAGAAATCGATACCCAGCTCGATTAGGTTATCTACTGGCAAATGTCACATTGGGGGAGCGCTCGTGACGTCATCGCTATTTTGGTCCGGGCGGCTGTCAGCCATTGATTACTGATTAAAACTCTGTGTGAGTTTATTTGTGTGTTTGTTTGTTTGTGTGTCTTGCAACGAACCCTATGAGGTCCTGTACAGTGAGTTCACAAAGTTTAACCATATAGCCCGTAGCCCTAAACAAGACGTGATTGTGGGAACCTAATTCTAAACCATACAATCATACATAACATAACGTTGCCAAATGTTATTCAACAACTAAAAATTGCATGTCAAGATATTATACTATCGAACTACACGAGCATAATCTGGTTCTCTTTTTTTTTAACACGAACTATACTTAGGGAGTACGCGCATAGTAGGTCAACATAACATGAATGGGGTATGGGGTGGTTTGCTATTTTTTGTCATAAAATGTTATAAAGATAGTAATGGTATATAGCAATATTAAATAGAATATTAACCTGAGTTAGAGAAACTCTCCCACTTAGGAGAAATTATTGTAGTTCTACGACAGGATATGATGGAGAATTACTCAGAAGTACCAGACCAGTTCTTAAAGTTTTACCATAGAGTTTGACTGGTCGAGTTAAAGAGCTCGGCCTCAAGTCAACAAAGAGTAACGGAAAAAGAGACAAGATTCGAAAACAGTGCTTCAATTTAAGGATTTTTTTTCTAACAAATATATAACGTGTTTTTTGTTTATCTAAAATGATGTCAATATTATTATGTATTTTAAAAATCACAGAGTTTTAAAAGTCCATAGTAAGCGGGTTGGGATAGGGAAATAGGCAATGTGACTATGAGAGAAATACGCAATGTGACTATGATAAAAATATGTTTATACAGATAGTATACATTAATATGAAGTAGGGCGGTCAACAATATATCATGCTCGTGTAACATAATATGTGCACGATCCCTGACATTGTGTAAAGCATACCTATGTGTGTACACGTGCTCACACAATCAATGTGTACAAGTTTCTCACACCGAAAGTACACATTGCCAAGTTCAAAGTTCAACGACCAGGTACACACGTCTCAAAGCGCGAGGTCTTTCGCCAAACTTTGCGGCACGGGTAATGTCAATATCGAACAACGAAATATATCGATGTATTGAACAAAGAAATCACGTGTACCGAATAACGAAATCAGCTGTATCGAACTACGAACAACAGTATCGAACAACAATAATTAGTATCGAACTTTGAAAAGTTTTAAATCAGCAGTTGAACTAGAGAGCCAATATTATAGACTAGACTCTATAGAATTGACTAGTAAAACTTATGCAAACGATGTTAACAATGCAGAACTCATTTCTACGATTAAGATGACGGATATTCTTAACCAGAAGCTTTTTTTAAATTTTGTTTTTCAGAACAAGACGAAATACAACAATAAAATTTCAATTTTAATTCGGCATCTGATTGTACAACATGATCTAACTTTTAAAATATTTAGTCGCTGACCATGAATTCATGCCAAACAAAATATTTCTTTGACGTCATTTATTGTGGGGGTCTATTGTTGACGTTTAAATATCCCTGTTTTCACCGTTTATTGTAACTAAACATCAAGGCAGCATAAGGTCCCGTTCTGAATATAATCAAGTAAACCTTTCTTCTTTACCAGGAGATCTCTGTAGATACCCCCTAACCCTTTCCAAGACTGAGTAGTTTAGTTTCAAAGTAGTTTAGTTTCCATAGTTATTAACATTTTAACAACATATGCTCATTCCTGGTTAAATTGGTCTGTAACTGTAAACTGATATGGGATTAGAAAATTGTTCAGAAACTTTTAATGGTCGCGTAGTCCGATTGGGGGGGGGGGGGGGGCTTGAACCATATTACTTAGTAGTGTTGGTAGAAACCTCGAATATTACAATTAAGGATAAAGAAGAAGAAACTTTTAGGGGGGGGGGGGGGACGGGAGGGAGAGCGTTAATCCATATTACTTAATTATGTTGGTGGAAGCCTCCTCCAATATTACAATTAAGGACAAAGAAGAAGAAACTTTTAGGGGAGGGGGGATGGTGGGAGCGTTGACCCATGATACTTAATTATGTTGGTAGAAACCTCCAATATTACAATTAAGGACAAAGAAGAAGAAACTTTTAGGGGAGGGGGGGGGGTGGAGGGAGCGTTGACCCATGATACTTAATTATGTTGGTAGAAACCTCCAATATTACAATTAAGGACGTCGGTTTAAATCGTCGGTCATTTAGTTCTAGGCAACTCTGTGATTCATACACTGCATAGCCTAGCAATCTCCAATATTACAATTAGGGACGTCGGTTTAAATCGTCGGTCATTTAGTCCTAGGCAACTCTGTGATTCATGCACTGCCTAGCTTAGAAACCTCCTCCGTCGACTATAACGCCGATCGGACCAAATAATAGTTGCTACGGCCGATACTGTTTTCACTGTCAACATTACAGCGATTTCGAATTCGTTCAAAAAAACGACCAGGGTGCTATTGCTAATATCGTCCGTTTCTGTAATCGATTACCGATAGGAAACGGAGCATAGGTTACCCAGATCGGGGCTGTGTGTGCGCGGTGTAAATATACTCGAGCGCAGAGCAGGGGTCGGAAGCGGCTTCCGGTGTCGGCGTCAAGTAAAAGGCATTGTGGGTAGGGAGTATGAAAATGAATGAGTGAGCAGGGCCGCGGTTTGTTAGGCTACAAGGGGTTGGGTTGAATGCTCGGAATGTGATGGGTAATTCATTACGTGGAAAGGCCAAATTAAGCTCAGTAAAGGGTGAACCCAAATCTATTGATTGGTTTGATATTATCGATGGTTTCTTTCAGAATTTTTTTCTCCGAGGGTGGAGGAAAAGATTTAAACTTTCGGGAGGCGGACTTAAAATTTCCTGGATGGCGGACACTAGATAAAGTATATACTTAGTATGTAAAATATATATTGTTTCTATTGCGTCAAACAGATGGTGGACATGCTCGGGGGGGGGGGGGGGGAGGGAGGGGTAAGAAATTTACTGTTAGTACGTTTAGGGGAATAAGTGAAATTTATAGATGTGGTAAAATATAGACCTATAAAACCCCAATCAGGTCTAAAATTAAAAAGCACACTTGAAATTAGCTTCGTATTTTTAACTGAAATGTTATGTTTTTTTATTTATCAGAAAATAAATCCTTAACTGTAATATTTTCACAATCTGGTGGGTCACTGTGTGGCTGTCAGACATGATGGATCAGCTGTAAATACCCAATTAGTAGTCGCAGACTGTGACGACAGCCCCTGGGGGAGAGGCGGGTCCGTCAGGTGGCACTTACAGCCCCCTCTACACATCTCACTAACCTAATGAGGGAGATGACCCCACCCCCTCCCCCAAACCTTTGGCTCTATTTATGAGTTTCGGTGTAAAAACTAAGGAGCGTGCCTGGCAGAATAGCAGGCAGACGATGCAAGTATTGAAACAAAAGGCATATATAGGTCTACTGAGTAGTAAAATTAGTGAGTGAATTTTTGTTGACACCCCCCCCCCTTCCGGCGTCGTCTATAAATGTTTTAATGTTTTTAAAAGAAACCCCCCTCCCCAATCTTCACATTCACCTAATGTCATGTCAAACTTCAGCTAACTCCCCCCTCCCCCACAAACACCTAAATAGCAAGTATCCTTATCTTGAAATCACAATTTGATATTATATCATTGTAAAATAATTAAGTTTCTTCAAGATGAAACAAGGTGATCAACGAGCATTACATTTATAACAAGCTTGTATAAGAACTGCAAAAAAAAATATTAAAACACTATTCTCATACACAGCTGTAGTTGGGATAGTCCTTAAATTGTGAGGCCACCTACCTATGCCACACCGTAGTAACAACCTTCATGTAAGACCCTGGGACTACCCTTTCCCAAGCATTATGTAAAGTATGGATCACTTACCATGAAACAAATTTATTAACATAGTATACTATGTACAGTTTTCAAAGTGGGAAAACTTGCACATAGATTTGATTCTACATTTAAAAAATGAGGGCTGAAATTATGTACAACATACATGGGATCCTAAGAGTGTATTGATAAGAGATTTACAGCATCTGTAAGACATTTATTTAAAATATCCCAAAGCTAAAAGAAAATTGTTGTTAACTTCAAATTGCCTGCTCTGGCATTAACCTACTCAGTGTATCTCGCATTAGCCTACTCTATCAGGCATTAGCCTACTGTATCATGCATTAGCCTACTGTATCAGGCATTAGCCTACTGTATCAGGCATTAGCCTACTCTTTCAGGCATTAGCCTACTCTTTCAGGCATTAGCCTACTCTATCAGGCATTAGCCTACTCTATCAGGCATTAGAATACTCAGTGTATCTGGCATTAGCCTACTCCAGGCATTAGCCTACTCTATCAGGCATTAGCCTACTCTATCAGGCATTAGAATACTCAGTGTATCTGGCTGGCATTAGCCTACTCCAGGTATTAGCCTACTCTATCAGGCATTAGCCTACTCTATCAGACATTAGCCTACTCTATCTGGCATTAACCTACTCAATCTATCTGGCATTAGCCTACTCTATCAGGTATTAGCCTACTCTATCAGGCATTAACCTACTCTATCAGGCATTAACCTACTCTATCAGGCATTAACCTACTCTATCAGGTATTAGCCTACTCTATCAGGCATTAACCTACTCTATCAGGCATTAACCTACTCTATCAGGCATTAACCTACTCTATCAGGCATTAACCTACTCTATCAGGCATTAACCTACTCTATCAGGTATTAGCCAACTCAGTGTATCTGGTATTAGCCTATTCAGTGTAGCTTGTGAATACTAGTGAGTGTTTTATCATATAAAATTAAAAAAGAAAATATGAAATCCCTCACCTCAACAGAAAATGTGCAGTCTACATTGTTTTTCTTGGCTGAAATTCTGTGAAATAAATCCTCACACAGCTGAAAGTAAAAGATTATAATTACAATTTTTTTTAACTAACCAATATTAGACAGAGTGATTATCTATGTTAAAAAAAACTTTCATACATTTCCAAAATAAAGCATACTTATTTTACTTTGCTACTATACTGATCTAAACAATATATACAAATGCAAGTAAATTATATTGTGATAGAATATATAATTAAAACCAATGTATGCGCCATTAAAGCTTAAAGTATCTTTTAAAAACTCATCATACTAAATGATTATGTTATAAAATATTCATTTACTGTAACTCATTTTTATAACTGCACATTAAATTTTAAATGTGGAAATATTTTCAAAAACCTTAAGACACAAAGCCAAAGGTGATATTGTTAAAAAAAAATTTTAAAACCTCTTCTATGTCCAGGCAATGTTCTATTATTAACACTTTATTGGTGAGTTGGCACTTTTGTTATTGAACTCACCTGCAGAAATATGCCTTTGGTCAAATATGTGGACCTGTGGAATTATGCCTTTGGTCAAACATGCAACTCACCTGTGGAATAATGCCTTCCTGCCCAGGCTCATTCTTGCCCATCATGGTATAACTTTTGCCAGAACCAGTCTGGCCGTAAGCAAATATACAGACATTATAGCCTTCAAATGCATGGTCTAACATCTCAAGTCCTATATCTTCATACACTTTCTTCTGGTCGGCGAACTTCGGATCTTCAGGCTAAACATGAAACATGAACATCAATGAGTGGTCAATGTCAAACAGTAAACAATTTTACTAAAAATTAAATTATTTAATAATAGAATAATAACGGAATAAGCGTAGCTTATATCACAGAAAAATATGAATAAAAAACTTTTAAATTTAAAAAAATGCTTGTTTAGCTTATTAATGCACATGAGTTGAATGAACTGATTTTAAAATCAACATTTGAAATATAAAAAAATATTGTTTTTTGTGTAATAGAATAAAAACTAAAGACATGGTTGCTGAACAGTAATTCCTCAACAAAAATAATTTTAGCTGCAGGGACCCCATCAAGTGTAAGCATCAAAAGATGCTTTAAACACAGAAAATAAAGGACATATTGGGTCAAAAGAAGAAAAATACGTCTAAAACAAGGTGGACCTACCATAGTGTCAAATACAGAAGATTATGGATAAAACAAGGTGGACCTACCGTAGTGTGAGACCAGTAGGAATAATCAAAGTTGTAGCTTTTAGTTTGAGCATCTTTAGGGCCGGCCTTAGGGTTGGTTATTGCTGAAATACAATGTTTTCACAGGGTTAGCCACTGATCTAGCATAACATTCATCATCATCATCTGTTCACTTCTAGAACCCAAGACACATGGGTTAGCACTCTGCCCAGTGGCTTTGGTATGTGAGGTACCCAAAAGAGCTCAACCATTCAACCATAGTGTTAGAACTTTTCTTTTCACTGGGTTTGTTGTGAATGTAGCACAACATCTATCATCATCATATTTTCCCTTTTTGAACCCTGGACACTTTAGGCACATGAAGTAGAGTTCATCTGTTTTAGTGACCTTGGCATACAGGTGGTAGAGTGGTCAGCATTCTGCCCAGCCATCTTAGTTTCCCTAATGTGAGTCAGGTACTCATCAGAGCTGGGTGGACTTAGGGACACCTTACAAAAAGTTGTAAGCTCTACCATACAACCATGCTATCACCCCAGTACAACATTAAATATCAGAAATTTTATTTTCTCTGTAGTTGTGGCTGATGTAGTACAACATTCAGTGTGAGAAATTCTTATTTTTACAAGGTTTGCTACATATGATTTATGACATTTTGTTTCTGGTGTGTAATTTTAGTATGTAATACTACAACAAATACAAAAAAATTTTCTCAGAGTGTTTTTTACTACTGCAGTACACATGGTAGATGAAGCTTGAGCTAAGTTATCTTACACCTGTGTCTATTAAAACACATGTCCAGTCATAGCAATAAGACAATTTGGACCTCTAATTATAAAGTCCCAGACTAATCCAATCAACCATTCCCATAATCTGTCATTATCATCTTTTCTCGTTAGTATCCATGACACATGAAGCAGATGAAGCAGAGTTCATCTGTTTCAATTACCTCTGCATATGAAGGGATAGTGCCTAACCACTTTTGTTTTCTCTAGAGTGAGCTAGTAGTACATCAAAAGTAAATTGTCTGCTTTAGGTTAAGATAAGTGCCAGAATAACATAAAGCTGCCCTGGTGGATAATAGAAAATAATATGATCACTAATGTCAATAGCTATTTACACAGAGTGCCATCAGTTTTCTGCAACAGGCTTCTAAGCCCTGACCAGGATTTGGTTCTGAGTCATTGTGAAAATTAATTATTCAAATGCTTATGCTATGCCTGCATCAGGATAATCAATAATAATTTAACAGCTAGTGCTGCACATATCAGCTGCTGCTGCACCAGGGAGTCTTGCTAGGGTAACTTTAGCTTTAGGTAATCACATGGTAGGAACTTTAGCTTTAAATAGGTAATCACATAGTAGGAACTTTAGCTTTAAATATGTAATCACATGGTAGGAACTTAAGTAGGTAATCACATGGTAGGAACTTTAGCTTTAAATGGGTAATCACATGGTAGGAACTTTAGCTTTAAATAGGTAATCACATGGTAGGAACTTTAGCTTTAAATAGGTAATCACATGGTAGGAACTTTAGCTTTAAATAGGTAATCACATAGTAACTTGTTGTTGTAAGGATTTCCCATTATCAGTTTGACCCCCAAGTGGTTTTAAATTTACTATCACTGCACTAATGTAGATGGTTTTTTTTATATATTTAAAGAAAATAATTTATTTTCACTTTTTTAGTGCATTATTACATAAAAGCTTGTTATTAAAACGTATTTTATGCATTTTTTTTTACCATCTACACACAATTTATTTACAAATATCTGAACTGATGATTCAGATTACTTTATGTGTTGCGTGTATATATCATCATACTACACATAATTTACAACAAGTATGTAAAGAACCAACTCACTGGTTGTGTTGCCACTCATGTCTATTATACACACAATTTACAACAAGTATGTAAAGAACCAACTCACTAGTTGTGTTGCCACTCATGTCTATTATACACTCAGCATCCCTGCTCATCTACAAGCTACACATAATTTACAAACAAGTATGTAAAAACCAACTCACTGGTTGTGTTGCCACTCATGTCTATTATACACACAATTTACAACAAGTATGTAAAGAACCAACTCACTAGTTGTGTTGCCACTCATGTCTATTATACACTCAGCATCCCTGCTCATCTACAAGCTACACATAATTTACAAACAAGTATGTAAAGAACCAACTCACTGGTTGTGTTGCCACTCATGTCTATTATACACACAATTTACAACAAGTATGTAAAGAACCAACTCACTAGTTGTGTTGCCACTCATGTCTATTATACACTCAGCATCCCTGCTCATCTACAAGCTACACATAATTTACAAACAAGTATGTAAAGAACCAACTCACTGGTTGTGTTGCCACTCATGTCTATTATACACACAATTTACAACAAGTATTTAAAGAATCAACTCACTAGTTGTGTTGCCACTCATGTCTATTATACACTCAGCTACACATAATTTACAAACAAGTATTTAAAGAACCAACTCACTAGTTGTGTTGCCACTCATGTCTATTATACACTCAGCGTCCCTGCTCATCTACAAGCTACACACAATTTACAAACAAGTATGTAAAGAACCAACTCACTAGTTGTGTTGCCACTCATGTCTATTATACACTCAGCGTCCCTGCTCATCTACAAGCTACACACAATTTACAACAAGTATTTAAAGAACCAACTCACTAGTTGTGTTGCCACTCATGTCTATTATACACTCAGCGTCCCTGCTCATCTCCCTGTTGTTGAAGGGTCGGACCCTCACAGCTACTTTCACAGATGACATGTTTACTGCAAACAGATGACATCTGATGTCAAGTGCAAGCACAAGGCAGACGTAACAGTGTTATGTATCAATACAAACAGCAGCTTTAAGTCAGTGTCAAGAAAAAAATGTAAGTTAAACAATATTCAAAACGCACATTAAGATAAATGGAAAGTGTAAGAAAAGACAGTCAATTAAATGTTGGATCAAGCCCCAGGAAAAATAAAAAAATATAACGAAATCTAAACTAAGCCCATACAAGCATTTTTATGACAACTAACAAAAACCAATTTTGTTTTATAATAATTATCCCTGGCAAGAAATGGATTATCCATCAATAATGCATAATATTGGAATAACATTTCCATCAAACATGTCATAGCTGGTGAAGCATGACATTAAAAATGTTTTGTTTTTTGTTTTGTTATTTGTACATAAATAATGAGTAACATTTGAAAATGTGTATGGACTATACAGTGACAAAGAATATAATAGACTAGCCATATTAACAAGTTAATGTTAAATATGTCATGTTATCTAGTGTATGTCAAGCTGTGTAGGCTCAAGCATGCCATGTCATACAACATACAGAAATAAACAGTATGCATCATATTCAGTAAAAGGTGAACACAGTAAACCTTCCATATACAGTACAAGGTTAACATATTAAATTTGTCATACTTAGTACAAGCTTAATACAGTTAACTTATCATATTCAGTAAAAGGTTTAAACAGTAAACTTGTCAAATTTAGTATCAGCTTAATAATAACGTATCATATTCAGATCAAGGTTAACACAGTAAACTTGTCATATTCAGTAAAAGGTTTATACAGTAAACTTGTCATGCATAGTACAATACTAATAGAGTAAACTTGTCTTAGTAAATATAAGGTTAATAGAGTACTTTTGTCATACTTAGTACAAGACTTATGTCTACAGTATCCATGATATATTCATTACATAGTTAATATAGTACTGTTCTTTATAAAAGTTGTATAACAATACAATACCCCACCCATGTTATATTAAGTCCACATTACAATGTTAAGCATAGCACTATTCATTACAAGTCAGTTAAAAGTAGTAGACAAGTCATAAAAAATATTTTAAATTAAGCATTCTTTTTACAAACAATTTTTTCAAGAAATGTTTTAAAATATGAAAATTGTAGGCTACTTACTTGTTGACTAGTGAATACAGCACCAAATGAAAAAGTTATTGAACAGAAACTAGTGTTTAAAATTAAGTATCATAGATTTTGATGGAAGTCCATTGTGTTAACATATCACACGAGAGACCACAGTAACGTGGTCCTTAAGTAGTTTAACTATCTGAAAGCAGAAAGAAAAGAAACACTTTTTAGATTCATAGTAAGGCAGTAAAAATTTAAAAAAATAGAAAGTAAATACATTTCTTTGAATTTAACTAGAAATAAATATGCTCTTCATCATCTTTGTAAATAGAAATCAAGAAGCCCTATTTCACTCAAAGCTAGAAAACAGCTATTTAGTCATTAGCTGTAAAATAAATTATCTCAAACACTTGAAACACAATTCATATAATTTATCTTTAATTTTATGTAATGAGCATAACTTAAGTAAAAAGGAAAACACAATCAGATACAAGAAAATCTGTAAATTAACATTATATGTCTTTCTTTCCATTATTAAGTGATTAAAATGTGAATATTTTCTTGTAGTTCAAATCCCACAATAAAATATTAAATCTGTATGAAAATTGAAGCATTTGTTTGTCAGCACAACCAAAAAAGGAGAAGATCTAACACAAACTATGAGCTTGTTTTCCCAACACAATTTGTGATGAAGAAATCTCTAGCGTGGTAACACCAGGTTACATCAACTAGTGACGTCATATTGATCAGCCTCAAACTGGTTCAGGAATTACAAACTTTGTTCAACAAAACCACTGAACCCACAAGAAATTGATTCAACGGATTTAAAAATAAACACAGACTTCACTCACTGACAACAATTTAGCTGAGTCATTTAGAGATTTTAAAATATTTTTATTAATAATCCTGTACAGAACGTTATGAATTTATACTAAAAATATCTCGGAAAGATCAGCAAAACAGCAGGACTTCTTGAAAGATCAACCCAGCTGACTAAAGATCACATAAAAGAGTTGAAATTATTCAGCTTGAATAGATTAATCAATAACTCACTCCTCTTGTTAACGAATCATAGGAATAGAATTAAACAAATTTTAAAAATCCAAATCTTACTAACCATCAAAGTATAGCTCAGCAGTGTGGCTGCCCGACAAGAAAACAAGGATGAGAATGCAACAGATATCAACCGTTGGGGGCTTCAGAATGTGGAAAGAGCAGAGGCCGGATAAAAAATGATAATAATATGTGGCTGACGTCATTCAAGGCTTAGGGGTGGCTTGCTAAGTATTGATTTCTTCCTGGCTCCGCTCACCCTGTGCATGCAAAGGAGGCTCAGAGACAGGAGCAAGGGGGGGATCACTCTGACAGCAATAAAATGTCTGGTTACAAGGGAGGACGTACACTGTCAATAAAAACAGGGGAGATGTCATTAAAAATTACCCTTTCATCGTAATTTGAAATAAAATCAATTTTCAAAATTGGGAATTTTTGTTTATGCTTTTTAATTTGAAAAAAGACAGGGCATTAAATATTTAAGAAATACACAAGCAAAGCAGCATGCAGAATAGAAAGATTGATTAATGTGGAGAAGATAGCAGCACATTTCCCCAACAGCTGTCTTAGGTTGCAAGTGTGAATTGCTTTCAATAACATTAGCATGAATTATAGATGCTGGAACCTTTACACAATTCACTGGGCTCAGCCTCTTGAGCTGCATAATCTACAAACAACTTGGCTGGTAGTTCTGGCTTAACAACAATTTAATAACAAATTAGTTTTTACAGAGAAAATCAACAGTACCCTGACTTTTACAGAAGAAAAGGACAGTACCCTGGTCTTAACAGATGCAGATAACACTGCTCTGCTGTTAAACAAAAGAAAATACTGTCCTGGTCTGAAAAGACGAAAATAACACTGTCCTGCCCTTAAACAGAAGGAAATAATACTGCCTTGGTCTTAACAAATGGAAATAACACTGTCCTGGTCTTAAACAGATGAAAATAACACTGCCATTAAACACAAGAAAAGACAGTGCCCTAATCAACATTAACATTTAACAGTGTCTCATCTATAACACAAATGTCTATTCAAGTCCTGTAAATTTGAAAACAGTTCCCTACAACTAATACAAATAAAAAAACAACAGGATTACTAGCTTGAATGGATGAAAATAACAATGCATTAAACTAAATAAGAGACATATAAGAGAAAAACATCAGTGGAAAACCTCAAGTGAAACTCACTAACTCTTATCCTTGTTTTGTATCTAACCCCAAATGTCTGTTACCTAACCCAAAACCATTTGTATTACCTAACTCAAAACCCTTTTGCGTAGCCTAACTTTAAACCACATGTGTAACCTGAAAACACTATGTTACCTACCCTAAAAATGTGATGTGCTAACTAGCATAGCCCAAAAACCTAAACCTAACACTGATCAAAACTAGATTCTTGAAGTGAAGAGAGTAAGAACACTGGTTAAGACAGTCAATTATTAACTTAACACAAAACAATAGATCACAATAGATGATTCGAGCTTCAAATAGAGCCTATATGGTTTAGATAGTAATGTTTTTTTTCTCATATACGAAGTATGGAGGAAGTATTTTAATCGTGCAAAAAGTCTAAATCAAGATTTACACAAATCTTGCATTTTACACCTCCCTGAGTCAGAAAAACATAGTTTTGCTATTATGTCTGTATGTCTGTGTGTGTGTATTTATGTGTGTATGTGAGCACCATTATAGCTAGGTTGATGAAATAAGTATTATATCAAATTTGTGGTTCTGTTTCAACTTATCAGACATTTCTGATAACCAGAAATGGAACTTATTCTAATTTTGTTTTTTTAAAAGCTTATTACTTTAGTATTGTTTTAGATAGATAAATGAAAATTCACTTATAACTAAAAGATCTAATCGTCTGCTTTCTAATACTTCTATCAAATTTTGAGTAATTTCCGTTGACCGGAAGGAGTAATTTTTTGCTATTTCTTATTTCTTAAAAAGTATTTGAATTTATAAAGTACTAATCTTCAGCACAGTTACACACATGTTGTTTGCTGTTCACTTGGTGCGCAATTCTTTTTTCTACAAGATTCTATTCTATTTTTAAAAGTTTGAGTAATCTATTAAAAATCATGTCTAGATCCCGAGTTGCCATCCCCTGTAGTGTTATATAAGTATACCCACGGCATATCATACGCCGCTATTTAGTTGTTGTTTTTTCTACTTTTCAGTTATTCATAATTTGTGAATTCGACACTACCAATGCTGCCACTGAAAATATTTCTTTAAAACACTATAAGTAGCTTGTTAAGGACAAACCCCCCCCCCCTCCTCCCCCTCCCCTCCGCTAAAGTAAACTCCCACTTAGTTACCCCCCCCCCCAGTTTAAAATCGTTTCAAACTAAATTATCTGCCCCTAATAGTCGTCACTAAACCCGGCTCTGTTTATAGACATTTAGAGTGAACACATCTCACCAGACCATGTAGGGGTGGGGCTGGTAGGGAGCGCGTTTACAGCTTGTTTTCTAGCGTCTCCCAGAAGAGAATTATATATATAGATTAGAGAAAGTTTAGGGGAGATCACTCCCGGTTTATTTTCTGTATTAATCAGCAGTCTGTGTCATATTGTGGATTGTAGATTGTTAACCTACTAAAACTAAACAGGTACCATTTTGTCCACAAAAAATTTAGAAGTAATTAAGGCAATTAATTGAGTACAGCCAATCCAATTTCTTTTTTACAGAACGTGCACCAGGCGCTTGTCTCCAAGCTAGCAGCAATGTTAAGCTTTTAGTAAGATAATTACAATCATCCAGCAAGTGTCCTCCTATTCTCCTTACACAAAACACAGGAACCTTTGCTCTGACATTTGTTGTAAAGAAGATAATTGTACTAGACGACTTTGGCATTTTACGAACGGCTGCAGGTGGTGAAGTGAATTTGTCATGTCAGTCAGTTCATGGCACTGAATCATTAATTATTTTTCTTAACAATATGCAACTGATTCAAATTTTAAAAAAAAACAGCTGAATAAAGAGCTGTTTTTGTCAAGTAAAATATTATAAATACTTGCAATGTCATTTCATGAGAGCTTAAATAACAGATTTATGTAAAGATATAGCAGTTAAGTAATGAGTGATTACTATCAAATTAAAACGTATTGTATTGTCAGTTGATTAATAGATTGGTATCATTAATTTTCTAGCAAAAATCAACTTTAAAATAAATTTAATTAAATAAATAACATTAGATATATTCATTTTGATATGCAAGTTTTATAAATTAAAAGAAAAGAAAACAGCAAAGATAATATCAAATACAGTAAACATCATACAATAGGACCATATTAAACTTTTTAGTACAGTACACACAGTGCAGCACAATTTAACCTTCTATTAAACCATCTAGAATAGCAAAACAAAGTATTACAGTACAGCACAATTTAAAAACTCCACCACACCATAGAATATCAAAATAAAGTATTACATGGTCGAGCAAGACAAGTGAATCTTCACACACTATTCAGTGTACTATATTATATTTATGGCCATCACAATCACTTAAACATTTATCTACAAATTTTCACCAGTAATTCTTTTCTTATATCAGGAAACAAAACCTATCCCCAAAACTACATAAGAGGTATACAATACAGAAAACAAAAAAAGGAACTTTATACAGAATCACAAAGATTGTGCACACACAAAAAGTATATGAATCAAATTTTCCAATCATTACTTTGCAGTATTTTTTTCATTACAGACTCACTTCTTCTTCCTTATTAGTTTCTAGTATTGGAAGGGATTTCCTGCAACACAACTGAGTATTACGATTTCAGTCTGCTTTTCTTTCTGGATTTGCTTCCATAGCCTTTGTCCACCCAAGAACAAACTACAGAACAACATTTGTTTGATTTTGCAGTTGTCTCTCCTAGAAGATTTTCTATCCCCAGATGTCGGAGGGTTTGAACTTGAGACTTTTTCAGTTAGGCAACCACAGGCTTTACCAACTCATCCATGCCAACCCCTACAGACTCAATGTAATGCAGAATTACAAGCAATACTATACTGATGAAATTCATTATTCTGCAGGTGAGGCTAGTATAAAAACTTGGTGGAGAGGGTTTTAGTGATGTGACACCTGAAGACGTGAATGACATCCATATTCAAACTTGGATGGGTGAAGTCCTAGAAGAGCTGACCAAGTTAGAAGAGGATAAGGATGAGGAACAACTGGATGAGGAAGAGAAGGAGTTTGGTCTAACACTTGAACATCTTGCCAATTTGGTGTGAAAGGCGCAGAACTCCAGAAACTTGCTGAATATTGGAACTCTAATGTGTTTTTTTTTTCTCCACAGTTTAAAAATTCAACTGACAATTTAATGTCAGCATACAAAAATTGTTCACCCAGGCAAAGAAGAAGTGTCTGCAGCTTCCTTTACTATAACTAAGGTCATAAATCACACTAAGAGATCTGTTACACCTGTACAATTAGCTGTAGCAATAGAAGTTAAGTAAAATACAGAAGACGCTGCACCACATGATCAATTGGTACCTTTAACTTTAACTGAGCAGCAAAGCTCTTCCAGACATTCACCTACTCTTCATCTCCATCATTCTGTACAACTAATTCATAATCATCCTTTCTGGTATAATGTAAAACTACCAATTCCTGTGATAAAACTTTCATGGGAATTCCCTTCCTACTGGAGTACAAATAGGTGAGGAAACATTGATACTAATATCTGAATACATTGCCAGCATGACAGTACATTATTTTATCATCAGATTATTCTGCCTGTATCAGTTAGGATTAACATTGTGTTGAACACTAACTAGCTTGATACAACATAGAAGTAATGTTTTAAATAGATCTATAAGGTAACACGCTAAAGAAAAATAGTGACTGTACAAACACGCACTATGTTTAGTTATTGCAGCTATTTTATTTTTAAACTACACTAGTGTGTTTTTTATTTTTTGTTAGTATTTCAAATAAGTTCAATGTTTATTTCTAATGTAAAGTATAAAATTCTTGAAACTGAAAAAGAATTATATCTTTTACTGAGCGTATGGAATAAAAACAGTGTGGAACCATCTTAGTCAAAAAATACCCCTGCAGTGCAGCATAATATAGCAGCTTTAGTTGCTGAGAACATATGTACATGTATATGATTACTTGTAATTCTTTATATGTACAAGGCACAAAGCGCCTCACTTCATTGAGGGAAGTCTCATTTAACACAACATCCCACCTTTATTACGTAGAAAAGTAAATGCCTGGCCACATTATTTGTAATTCTATGTTGTTACCATGTGAGGTATGATAAAGATATTTTGTCTACCTAAATCAACTACAAAATATAAAATAATACAAAGATATCTAAAGTAGATGCAATTTTGTGAAATACATTCTTGACACAATACTTTTAGAAAGAAATACATTTTTAAATGGCCACTTACCCTCATGTGCAGGTAACTTGTTTCTTTATTTTGTTAAAACTTCATGGCAGTGACTTCAGAATGAAACAGTTTTCTGAGAATGACGAAAACAGTGAACTATATTAACAAATACTAATGGAAAATTGTAGGTGCAATAAAAAACTGAACAGTACATACACTAGCAGAAATAAGGTGAACGATATTGTGAACAAATTCAGAATCTTAAAAGCTAGATGGAAAAAATATTTTAAGTAAACTTTTCGTCTTTAACACAGAAATATCAAAAGCACTTAGGTCTATAAAATAACTTCTGAAATTTGCTAAAAACTTGAAAGTTAGTAAGACCAACTAGAGCTTTACTATAAAGCAAACTATTAACAGATGTGAAATATTATTGTCAGGTTGGTAAAATGTTAAGGTTGATAAACAGAAAAGTCCCAAGTTCGAACCCCCGGGCAGATGAAGCTCAATAGCTGGGGGCAGCAACCAATCTAGGAGAGAAAAAAAAATCAAACTGCTACCTTATTGTTTGTTCTTGGTTGGATAAAGGCTATGGAAGCAAATAGAGGAAGAAAAGCAGGTTGACATTGCAATCAACGCTGGAATCAACGGCCTAATTGGTTCATAACAAGTTGACACTTAATTACGTAATTGTGTTGGGACAGTTGGGAGGAGATCCCTTCCAACATTACATTAAGAACAAAGAATTCATGTATCGATATAACAACCACTACCCCCTTGGTGTTTACATAATAAGATTTATAATCAATTAAACTTGTAAGACTACCATGATTTATCTTATTTTAAAACATCAGTAGGCCCATTGTATCTGTGCTTACCAATAGCTTTTTTAAATAAACTAAAGGATTGCAACTGTACTGTGCCAATGGTTATAGTGCCAGTACACTGTGTGCTATGTTAGCATATTATTTATTATTAAATGAACTGTCATCTGTGATTGCATTGATATGGTGAAAGAATTAAGTGGGTCTAACTGTAAGAAATTTAATTTAGTTAGTGATAGGCCGACTAGCTACTAGACTTTTTACTATCTAGAAGTTTCCTAAGCTAGTTACTAGTCTGTAGGCTAAAACTTAAACACTAAAAGTAAAAATAAAAACGATTTAGTTTGGCCCTTATATAGTTAAGAGGCTAATTTAAAAACTCTTTATTTACTATTTAGGCCTAGTCACAATTTAAACAGATCTAGATTCATATCTAAAAATGTCAGACCTTGTCCAGCTAAGCCCCATCAAAAAGTGAACCTGATGGTCCATGGGGTAAGAGAAGTAGAATTCAACTGTTTCTGTAACCTCGGCACACGAAGGGAAAGGGATAAAGTGGTAAGCACTATTCTCAGCCTCCTATAATTTAATTACTCATTATTTTTTATTAAGGCTTAATATTAAGTCTTAAAAAGCTAATACTGACTAGATCTAATACTTTGTTATTTAAGCTAGTCTTGATTATTACTTTATACTCGATTAGTGATTAGGGGTCATCCATAAACAACGTCACGCTTTTGTGACGATTTTTACCTCCCCCCTCCCCTCCATCACACATCATCACAAAAAGCCAGACCCCCCCCCCCTCTAAATAACGTCACACCTCAGCCTACAACCCCCCTCAAAACTACAGCCCAATTATGGACCCCCTCCCCAAACAAGTGTGACATCATTTATGGACGACCCCTTAGTTAGTCTAACTTTAGGCCTAGCTCTGTCTTCCTTAGTCTTTTATTAGTATTTTAGTATTAGGCTAATAACTACTATTAATAATTAGGCCTAATAGCAGGTAGGCCTATTTAGTAGTAGGTTAGACCTAGGGCCTAGCTAGGGGTATTATTACTATTTTATTAATATTATGGCTTAGCCTCTTACTTATTAAGGGTTAGGCCCTATAATTTTATAATATTAAGATGAGGCCTAGTTAAGAAAAAAGTAATTAGGAGAAATATCAATATGGCATGGGATATAGAATCTAATCTAGAAGTAGAAAGTAGATAGAGTCTAGATCTCTAGATCTAGACTCTAGCTAGATCTACTATCTGATATCTACATTATCTAGAATTCTAGATTTACTCTAGCAGCTAGGAGTTTAGGACCCAGGAGTCTAGACCTATTCTAGATATTATAGCCCTATGCCGTAGGGTCCTAGGCCTATGGTCCTGTGGTTTAGTTAGGACTGCATTATGATTATCGTTTTGACAGTGCTATTTTAAAAAATGAGTCACATGACCGAGATTTATATTTACAATTATCTAGGCCTAATTTCTTGTAATTTGTCATTTGACGACCATTGAGTTATTCGATCTATTAAAAATCTCGAAGTTCGCCCATTTCATTCAATGTTCGTCATAGGAGACGAGCAATCTAAATCGATTTGTCGTCTTTCTAAATATTATATAAATCTAGACAGGCTATTGAAAAGTCTCTTACCTCAATCGCAGAATCATTGATAAGTTTTGGTTAGATAAATTATGACAATATTGCTAACTTTTGTTTTCATTGCAATAGAGTGGGCTGTTTTACAAACAAGTAGTGCTAAAAAATAACAGACTACTCATCCAGGCCTATCTTTTTAATTAAATATGTAATAAAAATATTAGCAACTAAATTCTACTGTGAAAATGTAAAACTGAATTCTTAAATGATCAAATATCTTGATTGATATCTTACATTTCTTTATAATTTTAAATTAAAATTTAGTAAAATGCAAATAGGCATATAAAGAAAAGTACATAATTATGATAATTTTGAAAATAAAACTGCTAGGAACTACTGTAAGTATAAGTAACAAAATGATCTATTTATAGTTTAGGGAATTTTCGTCTCTTTTTTCTCTCCCCATAAAATAATCTGTGGCCTACACTACACTGTATAAAAACCCAACCCGGATGTTATTTTATTGTTTTTTTTTTATTTTGTTGGGGATTTTCTTTTAGAACTTATCTAGCTAGCATTACAACAAATATCACATGCAGGCATTATCTTCTGGCCAACTTGCCTCTGTCTATTCTAAACCAAAGCGCTTACTTAAATGCACCTTTCTTTGCGGTTATGTAGGCATCTTCTTATGGGGGGGGGGGGGGGGGGGGGGGGGGGTCATTCATAAATTACGTCATACTCATAGGGGTGTTGGGGGGGGGGCTTGACGAGGGGGAGTTGTGTTTACAAAAGATGAAGACACACTTTTAAATTTTTTTGAAAATAAAATTAAGTTAAGCCGTTATTTCGAGTTTTCAAAACATTTGTAATATGATCGAGCTCGATACTATAAGTTGAGAAAGAAAACGCTGTTTAATTAATATACAAAAATTGCAATTTTGCGGCGAAGGGGGGGGGGGGTGTGGTATAATCATAGTGTATGGTTAAAATGCGCATCTATTTAGCATCGGGAATAACACTACTATTAAACGTAATTTGAGCTATTATAAAAAAATTCATTTCCTGTTTTCTTATAAATATTGACATAAATATTGACATTTGAAGAAGAACAAATCGGGTTACTTTAGCTATCTTCTGTATTTATTTAAAAGCAACACAAGTTACTTTAATATCAATTTATAAACAGGCCTACTGGTAAATAAAATGTATGCCGAGTGATGATTTTATAAGGTATAGTTAACTAATTATTTCGTTAAAATAATTAATAAAGCTATACGAAAATCTCGTTAAAAATTTTATTTCCATCATATTAATACAAAAATCAAAAAACTTTTAGACCCTAGTCAAACGTGGTTCTTAACCTTTTTTAGGGGCACCGAGACCCATCAGCTTCATATGCGCCTTTACTATACCCTTCATAATATGAACGATAAAATATTATGCTTTTCAATCTTAATTCAAAACATAGGTATACAGAGGCGTAGCGACCCTTCCTGGCGCCCGGGGACAAACTTTCGATTTGCACCCCCCCCCCCCTCAAGCTTTCAATTTATTTTTCCAACCCATTTTGGCGCCCCCTGAAGTGACGTATGTGTATTGTGACGTGTATGATTCCACGATATAGAAATATCACGATACCGATACATGTTATCAGGCTCACGCGCACTTTGATACCATGTCCTGCTGTCCTATTTGAACTATCATTGTCCGCGGCCGCTAGTTCTATTGTCCGCACTGACAAAATCCGATCGCAAGTCATATAAGTCAGATGTGTGTCTTGACCTCTGCCGAACCCCCTCAAATTGCAGTTGAAATTTTTCTTAATTTCTTAATTATAATACAAAAGTGTGACGTCACACCATATGAACCCCCCTCCCCCTAATCACACACCGTCACAAAATTACGGACCCCCCTCCCCTACGAATGTGACGTCATTTATGGACGACCCCTTAACACAATATTGTCCGGTTTCTAATTGAACGATAAACTCACGTGCATGTTCGAAGAGCGAGCGAGAGAGATCTATACAACTATATTTTCCCAAATTTAAATCAGATACCGGTCATAGATGGGGGATCTAAGCAACGTCCTACGGACTTGAGTCTGGGATCCGAACTTGAGACTCATCTTGTGAAAGGCAAACATAATAATCTAGTTTTTTTTTGTTTTAAATAAGCGGCAGATGGAGTAACACAATGCCTCTCGTGTGTTAGCCATCCCACTACAAACTCTATTCAATTCCTAACGTTTTAGAGTCTGTCGCTTGTTTTTAATTTTCAGAAACAACAAGCAACATGGCGTCATGAAGCTGCTCTTTATGTTCGCGTGTTTCCTCATTGTGCCTTGTAAGTTGGCTCCTCCTACCTAATCTCCATTAAAGCTTGACTCATTAGCAGGTGTAAAGGTGCATTGTGTTATTTTGTTAAAGTAAAAGTTTTACGAAAATATGTTAAGTGTCTGTGATAGTAAATAAGTCCGTATTTTTGTGGGTGACCGGAAAGATGTGCTACGGAAAACTGCGCAACGGAAAAAACTGCGCACAAAAAAAGTGCACAAGGGTATTTTTGTTTTCTTAAATCAAGCTTTTAAAAACATTAACAAAGAGTCAATATATGTACACTGATGCATAATAAAATATATTTCCACGAAATATGACAAAATTTAATAGTATAATTAGTTCGAGTTTGCGCATTTTTCTGTTCCGATTGCGCATTTATCTGAGAACCACGTCGATTATATAAGATGTTTTAATATCATTTCTGCTAATACGAACAGGTGGATGTTG